TTCCCAGATCCCAATCTACTTCAAGCGCCTTCCTACTTCAAGAATCGACATGATTCTGCTGTGCTTTGTTATTCCCTGCGGGGGGGCCTGGACCCAATCAACTTAATCCGCCTTCCTACTTCATGTTTTTACCTACTTCTTCCGACCGACGTGTAGGTCTTCCCTCAAATTGGTGTCCATGGGGTAGGTGCGTAATTAAGGCAAAATCGTCACCCAGTGGTCCCTGTTGTGGTGTTTTTCCTGCACCTCATGGCTATCCCATTTCCAGCGCCATGAAAGCTCCATGGCGGGGCACCCTTCTTGCGACCAAGGATTTGTCTGGCTGAATCAACTTAGTCAGACGTGTCTGGGCCTGCGACTCGTCAAAGACGGGCATACAAGTCTACAGATGGGACACTGCGGCAGGCTGGTGCGCGGAGTTCTCGCCGCAGGGCTCCCGGGACCTTCGTGTATTTTGGGGCCTGTCCCTCCAGGTGCTCCCCGCCTTGATAGACCCAAGCAGCGGCCGAATATCGGCCTCGCTGCCGGGACAGCTTTGGCACGGCATTGCCCCTTATGTCTCAGTCAACCCCTCGCCACAGGCGTCGCGGAGTGCTTTGCCAGAGCTGCACAAGCGGTGCCAGACGAATTGTGTGCATTTCGGGCCGGAAAAAAAAACATATAACAAAGTTGTTCCCCCAAAAAATGACAGTATTTTCTGGGCGTACACCGGTGTACTCAACATTGCCTTTCACGTGTTTCATATAGTCCGCCAAAGCGTTTGCGCGTTGGTCGTTTGTTACCGGCTGCCCCGTCGTATCTTTGATGTGAATAGTCGCTTTTCCAGATGTCATTCTGAGTGTTCTAGCTGCCGCCCACGCCCCTCCAGCAAGTGGTGCATCCAACCATTTTCGTTTGTCTTGCCGTATGGCTCTCTTGATTGCTTTGCTTTGTCGGTGCTCTCCCTCTTTGTCTCGGCTTTCTCGCCGTTTGTCCCTTTCCCAGAGCAATCCGAGCGTTCGCAGAGAAATCCATTATTATTGGTGGCTTCGAATTTGTACAATTATGATTTGCGATGTCTCGCCCATGGCACCCGCCAGAGCGTGAACATGAGTATCCAATGGTGTGAATTTGCACCGCGTTGGAGTGCAGCGTCAAAGGCATCGCAATAATCGTTTCCACTGCTCGGTGAGGACGGTAATGTTTTCAAGCAGCGGGGGAAATTCCATGCGCCCCCTTGCCCATGTCGGCACATTCTTGACATGGATTGTGTTTCATAGGGGAGTTCAGCATATGGCCCCAGCAGGGGAATGCGCATGCGCGCTCTTGCCGATTACGGCGCAGTCTTCATGCAGATCATGGCCTATAGAGAGTTCCATCTCTATGGCCCCAGTGCTTGAATTCGCGTGCGCCCACATGCCCATAACAGTCATCTCCTCATGGACCGCACCCCATAGGAAGTTCCACTTTGGGCCCCAGCGAGGGATTTCGCATGCCCCTCATTGCACTTGTCAACGGCAACCGCTGGTTTCGCCGCCGGCCGGTTTCGCCTGGCCGGTTTCGCCTGGCTGGTTTCGCTCGGCTGGTTTCGCCGCCCGGCGAAACCAGTTGCCGCCGGCGAAACCAGCTTCCGTCGGCCAAGCCAGCTGCCGTCGGCGAAACCAGCTGCCGTCGATGAAACCAGCTGCCGCCGGCGAAACTGTCCGATCCGACCCGCCTGCTAGGGTCCGCCCGCCCGACCCGACCCAGCCGTTAGGGTTCGCGCGTGCTCGGTCGAGCGTGCCCCACACTTTCATGTCCAGGCCGACCCGACCCGACCCGCCCGCTAGGGTCCGCCCGACCCGACCCGACCCGACCCGTTTGCTAGGATTTGCCCGCCCGACCCGACCCGCCCGCCAGGGTCCGCTCGCCCGACCCGTCCCGCCCGATATGGTTCGAACGTTCTCGGTCGAGCGCGCCCCACACTTTAATGTCCCGCCCGACCCGACCCGCCCGTCAGGGTCCGCCCGCCCGACCCGACCCGAGCCGCCCGCTAGGGCCCGCCCGCCCGACCAGACCCGCCTGATAGGGTTCGCGCGTGCTCGGTCGAGCGTGCCCCACACTTGAATGTCCAGCCCGACCCGACCCGAGCCGCCCATTAGGGTCCGCCCGCCCGCCCCGACCCGACCCGACCGTTAGGGTTCGCGCGTGCTCGGTCGAGCGCGTTCCACATTATAGTGTCCTGCCCGGCCGACCCGACCCGCCCGTTTGGGTCCGCCCGCCCGACACGACCCGAGCCTCCCGCTAGGGTACGCCCGACCCGACCCGCTCGCTCGGGTCCGACGCCCGACGCCCGACGACGACGACGATGACAACGACGACGACGACGACGACGACGACGACGACGACGACGACGACGACGACGACGACGACGACGACGACGACGACGACGACGACGACGACGACGGCGGCGGCGGCGGCGGCGGCGGCGGCGGCGGCAGCGGCGGCGGCAGCGGCGACGACGACGACGACGACGGCGGCGGCGACGACGACGACGACGACGACGACGGCGCGGCGGCGGCGGCGGTGGCAGCCGCGGCGGCGGCGGCAGCGGCGGCGACGGTGGCGGCGGCGGCGGCGGCGGCGGCGGCAGCGGCGGCGACGACGACGACGGCGGCGGCGGCGGCGGCGGCGCCGCCGCCGACGCCGACGCCGACGCCGACGCCGACGGCGACGGCGACGACGACGTCGGCAAAACCAGCGCCGGCGGCGAAACCAGCGCCGGCGAATCCAGCCGCCGGCGAAAACAGCGGGGCGAAACCAGCGCGGGCGAAACCAGCGCGGCCGAAACCAGCCGTCGGCGAAACCAGCGGGGCGAAACCAGCGCCGACGAAACCAGCGCGGGCGAAACCAGCCGTCGGCGAAACCAGCGCTGGCGAAACCAGCGCCGGCGAAACCAGCTCATGTTTTCGCAACACACCCCTCATATGGATCGTACCCCAAAATGGAGTTCCAAAACTAGCCTCAGTGAGGGAATTCGCATACGCCCCCATTGCCAAACTTGGCATGCTCTTCACACGGATCGCATCACATTGGGAGTTCCATGGAATGTTGGAATATTCGCATACGTTGTTTTGTCAATTTCGGCACACCATTTTACTCAGATTGTGCCCCGTGGTGGGTTCTACAGATGGCTTTTGTGGAGGTGAATTTGCATGCGCCTCCTTGCCCACCGTTGACACACTTTTTATATGGATCGTGCCCCAAGGGGGGTCCCACCCATGGCCTTTAGGGAAGGTCGCAAGTGTCCCTTTGCGAAATTCGACACTGTCTTCACACGGATCGCTCACAATAAACAGCTCTACGTATGGCCCCAGCGGAAGAATTCACATGCGTTCAATTGTTCTTACCGGCGCACCCCTCACACGGATCGTGTTTCATGGGGAGTTTCATTTACGGCCCCAGCGCGGAGGGAATTCGCATGCGCCCCAGTGTCAATTTTTGACGTTTCGCGTATCCCCACCATCAGGCTCCCCCTGCTCTTGCTAGGTAATTTAGGCCCTTGCGCGGCCCGCTCGGACCTTGACACGCCGTCGGCGCGCTCGCCTGCGGCTGGCAACAAAAAAGCATCCCCACCATCGCCTCTGCTTGCCCGGCGTCCGACCTGATTCGTGCGCCTGCGCACCACAAAGTATCCTCACCAGCCCATCCAGACGCGATTGGAGGTTTTATTGACGCGTCTTGGAGGCAAGATTGAGCCATGCTCGGCTCGAGGCTGTCGGAGGCTGTTTTGAGCCATGCTCAACTAGGATCTTGGACCATTTTGACTCTGGAGGCCTCTTGGAGGTCTGTCGGAGGCTATTTTGAGCCATTTTCGACCTCCTGGGACCATCTTGGGGGTAGGAGGAGGAGGAGGAGGAGGAGGAGGAGGAGGAGGAGGAGGAGGAGGAGGAGGAGGAGGAGGAAGAAGAAAGAGAGAGATGGAGGAGAAGGGGGAAAAAGAGGAGGAGGAAGAAATGCGAGACGAGAAAGATGAGGAGGAGGAGGAGGAGGAGGGAGGAGGAGGCAGGAAAGGGGGAGGGGAGGAACGGACGATGACAAGGAGGATGAGAAGTTGGGCTTTGGAGATATGTTGTTTTGAGAGGTTCTCAAAGGCCTCTTGGGGCACTCTTGGGGCTCGACTTGGAGGTATTTGGGCCCTCTTGGAGCTCATTGAGGGCGCCTCTTGGCCCTCATGGCTCGAAAAGAGGGGGGGGGGGGGGGGTCAAGTCAGGCGGGGTCAAGTCAGGCTCCCCCATCGGAGACTCAAAAAGTGCGCCTCGGGGCCCTCTGGGGCCGCTCATGGGCGTCTCGTGGGCGCTCTTGGGGCCGTTTCGGGGCGCTCTTGAGCCCCTCTTGGGGCTCTCCTGGGCCGTCTTGAGGCCTCAAATGCCCATCGGAAGCGAGAAAGCGATAAGGCAAAAAACAGTGATGTTCCTCAGGTTGTTGGAGGATGTTGGCCTCTTGGAGGGTGCATAGGGAGGCTCGAGGGGCACTTGGAACCGTTCGTGGGCTGTAGTGGGGCCTCTTGGAAGTATGTAGGAGGCTATATTGAACAATCTTCGGCTATCTTGAGCCATCTTGGAGGCCGTCTTGGGCTGCCCAGGGCATTATTGGAGCCATCTTGGGCCAATCCTGAAACTCTAACTACCGAGCCCCCCCTCCCAGGCCCCAGGGGAGGGGGGAGGCAGAGGGGTAAACCCCTTCCCCGGGCAGGGGAGGGGGGCGAGGGAAGACACAACCCGTTAAACCACCTACGCCCAGAGGGTTGGTGGGATTCCGGAACACCACTCACACGGGCCGTGCCTCATCGGGAGATCCATCCATCGCCCCAGTGAGGGGATTCGCGTGCGCCCACATGCCCATGTCGGCCACGTGGATCGTGCCCCGTGGGGAGATCCACCTATCGCTCCAGTGGGGGAATTCGCGTGCGCCCCCTTGCTCATTCTTCTTCGGCACAATGCTACAGCAATATCAGCAGCAGCAGCAGCAGCAGCGTCGGTAGCCATTTGGGCTCGAGGCTCAGTTTTGGCTCCCCCGGAGGCGGCCAGTCCAGAGCGAGGGCCGCGCCCAGGGGTGCCCGCTTCGCCGCAGGGCCTTGCCGGCAATATGATGGCCCAGCAGCAGCAGATGGCGGCCATGCAGGCGGCCCAGCAGCAGCAGATGGCCATGCAGCAGCAGGTGGCCGCTCAGCAAGCGGCGGCAGCGCAGCGGGGGGGCCAGCCGGCGCTGACGGCTCAGCAGCAGCAGCACATCCAAGCGTACTTGCAGCAGGCTGCCCAGCAAGGCTACAACCAGCAGCAGCTGCAGCAGCTGCAGCAGCAGCTGATGGTCCAGTGCCAGCAGCAGAACGCGCAGGCCTCCGCCCAGCAGCAGCAGCCCTCGGGCCAGCAGCCGCAGGCCCAGCAGCAGGGTGCGGCCGCCCAGCAGCAGGGCGGCACACCGCAGCAGCAGATGCAGCAGATGCAGCAGATGCAGCAGATGCAGCAGATGCAGGCGCAGCAGCAGGCACAGCAACAGGCACAGCAGCGGGCGCAGCAGATGCAGCAACCGCAGCAGCAGATGCAGCAACCGCAGCAGCAGCCGCAGCAGCAGCAGAGTCCGGCGGGAGTGCCAGAGACCGTTGGCAACGAGCGTCAGATCACCGTGCAAGGGTGCACCCACGCCACGGTGGGCGCCATCGTCCGTGGCGCCTTCACGCTGAGCACCGAGAACCACGGGAAGCCAGCGTACAAGAAGGACTCGCAGGTCAACGGCCTCGATGTCATGCTCTACTTTTGGGACGAGCGCGACGGGCCGAGCTTTTGCGGCTGGTGGTTCGGTCCGAAGATAGGGGGCGACCAGGTGTGGGCGTATCACCCTGCAAAAGAGGCGTCGTCGCCACCAAAGACAGGCTGGAAGGTGCCCTATGACGGTCCGGTGGACACCACCTTCGTGCTGGGGAAGACCACGCCAGGAATGGTGCAGCAGCAAGCTCCCAACGGAGCCCAGAACCAGATGCAGCCGATTCGGGCGACGCCCCATGTCACGAACCCGCAGCAACAGTGGCAGCAGCAGCAGATGCAGATGCAGCAGCAGCAGCTGCAGCAGCAGCAGCAGATGCAACTACAGAAGCAGCAGCAGATGCAGCTGCAGCAGCAGCAGCTGCGGCAGCAGCAACAGCAGCAGATGGAGGCAAAGAGGTTGCAGCAGCAGAAGCAGCAGCAGGAGCAGCGGGCCACCCTCGCCGTGCGCCGGATCATCCAGTTGATGCGGACAGCGAGGGAAGAGACCTTCGACGCGCTCAAGGCGCAGTTGGACGAAGTGCTGGCAAAGGAGCTGGAGAACTGCGGCGCCCAGCAGGAGCGGATAAAGCAGGAGGCGGAGCAGGGGCTTGAGGCGGCCAAGCTGCTGATAGCGCAGGCGAAGGAGGCGGAGGAGAAGCGCAAGGCCGCGGTGGCAAACGCCGAGGCCCTCCTGAAGGAGCTCGAAGGCCACATCGTGGAGGCCGAGGATCGGGTCGGACGACGCGGGGGGGGGGCACTGGAAGGGGGGGGGAGCACGAAAGCTGCTGCACGCAGCTGGTTTCGGCCCCGCCGCCGGGCGCTCTCCTCGATGCGCTGGCGCCTACAGGAGGCGCCGGAGACACCAATCACTGCAGCCGAGCTGCCACCCCCCCCCTCTGCTGCCCCCGCTGCCTCGCGCGTCCCGACCCGAGAGGAGAAGGGCAAGGCCCTCAAGGAGGAGGCGAAGCAGTTCTCAGAGAGAGCCGAGGTGAGCCTGGAGGACGTGATCGCTGCGGTGGCTGCGGTCGAGGAGGCAGGCGCGGCGGCCAAGGAGAGGATGAAGGTGTGCACCGACTTCATCACTGCCAAGGGCGCCGAGCTGAAGGTCTCCATCCCGATCGCGCCGCCCGGCCAGGCGTCCGCGGAGAAGCCTGCATCCGAGAAGCCAACTTTCCAGGCGCTGCTGCAGCGCATCATCGAGTGTACCAAGGCGAACGAGACGACGCTGAAGGAGGCCCAGGACCAGAAGGCCAAGGCCACCAAGAAGGCCAGCGCGAAGAAGTTGATAGATGCCCAGGAGGCGCTGTTCGACAAGTATGCCGCGAAGGATGGCTTCCTGGGTAAGGCGGAGGCGAAGAAGTTTGCCAAGGCCGAGTGCGACTGCACTCTTTCGACCAAGGACTGCGACCGCATCTTCGCCGTCCACGTGCCGGAGGGCTCCAAGGGCTTCAAGAAGGAGAATTTCCAGAGGCTGAGGTGCGCCATCGGCATGATGCGGGAGAAGGCGAAAGACAATGTCAGGAAAGCGGCAAGGGAAGAGAAGGAGAAGGCGCTGAGTGACCTCAAGGAGAAGCTGCAGGCGAAAGTGGCGTCCGCTCTCCAGGAGGCCACCGCGTCCGATGAGCTCGTGGTCAAGGCGGAGGAGGCCGCCAAGCCGCTCCTTTCCAAGGTGGCCACCAGCTCCGCGGCCGAGATGACCAAGCTCGTCGACGAGGTCGACGCCTTCATAGAACAGGCTAGAGAGAGCGTCAAGGAGCTGAAGACGACCATCGCGGGTATCTCCGAAGGTGTAGATTCTCAGTTGACCTTTTGGCTAGCGGCCGAGATGAGGCCAGTCAACTTGAAGACGGTCCCGCTGGAGCCTAGGCTCATGAAAGTTGACGTGATGGCGACACGATTTCGGGAAGAGTCCAAAAAGAAAGATATGAAGGAATTGGATTTGGTTGAAAAGAAGGTCCTTCGGCACGTCAGGTACCACCAAAAAGAGGAGGGCCTGAAAGTAGAGGAGCTGTTTGACCTGATCGATGCCGACAAGGACGGCAGTATCAACGAGGACGACCTCCTCAAGTTCCTCGGGAGTTGCAAGACGGCGCCCAAGGAGGATAAGGAGGGCGAGGCCGAGAAGGCAGAGAAGGACGAGGGCGACGGGATGCCGCCCGCGGAAGAGCTGAAGAGGCTGTTCAAGTATTTGGACGAAGAGGAGGAGGGCAGTGTGCCCAAGGAGAGGATGATTCAGTGGCTGAAGGTTTACATGAAGGTGGCGAAGGAGACAGTGTTGTCCACCGAGCTGGGTATCCAGGCTGGCGAGACTGTTAGGCGGCTCGAGGAGGGGGAGGCCGTGGAGATCGTGTCCGCCCCGCAGAAGGAAGAGTCTGTCAACCTGCTGCGAGCGAGGGGCGTCGCCATGAAGGACATGAAAGAGGGGTGGGTGACCCTGCAGGGCTCCCAGGGCTCCAAGTTCTTAGTCGAGGGCGGCAACTTGTTCAAGGTCGTCAAGGAAACGATCCTGACTGCCTCCTTCAGTCTCGGCGGCGAGGACGACAAGGAGCCCTCGAAGAAGCTGAAGGCCTCCACCAGGAAGCTGAGGGCGGGCGAGCTCGTGGAGGTCAGGGAGTGGCCCAAGAAGGAGGAGGAGGAGGTGGAGGAGGAGGAGTAAGAGGAGGAGGAGGAGGAGGAGGAGGAGGAGGAGGAGGAGGAGGACCCCGCCCGACAAACGGCCCCCGACAGGTCAGGGAGTGGCCCAAGAAGGAGGAGACCTCTGGCCTCATGCGCATGAAGTGCAGGGCGAAGACCGACGGCGCCGTCGGGTGGGCCACCGTGGTTGCCAGGGGCAACGCTAGGGGCGGATAGGCTCAGGGGGGACGCATCGACTCCCAGTCGCCCATCGATCGCCGACAAGGGCCCGATGCCCAGCCCCGCCCAGGAGCGAGCGTGCGGGTCTGCCCTCGGGGGCCTCTCGTCGGTGCGTCGGCGACGTGTCGCCGAGCCCGGGCCGAGGCCTCCCCCCTCCCCGAGCCCTTCCCCCCTCCCCTCCCTGGCCGTGCCCCCTCAGGTTGGGAACCAGGGCACGAAGTTCCTGGAAGCGGCCTAGGCGACCGTGGCCCCGCGGCAGCCCGGCCCGCGAGGCGCCGGCCGCGGCAGCCCGCGCGCGCCCGCCGCGGCCCGCGACCCGCCGCGGCCGCGGCCGTGGGTCGGCGGGCCGCGCCGGTGGAGCGGCGCGGCCCGGGAGCTCGCCGCCGGCGCGCCTGCACGGGCCGGGCGGCGCCCGGCGCGCGCCCTGCCTATAGGGCCGGCAGGCCGAAGGCTTGCCCAATACATGCGCGGTCGGGAGCTTGATGGCTCAGCGCGTCGCGGCGCCGGTGCTGGCCCAGCACGCTCCAGGGCGACGCGTGGGTCGCTTCCCAGACGTGCATGCTCGCGTCGCTGAGGAGGACACGCAATGGCAGGTGTTTGGCCGTTTTCGGGCCCTGGGGGGCCCTCGCCGGGCCCCAGGACCCTTTAAGCACGATTCAGTACCAAAAACTGGCCCTGGGGAAGTGTTCGGGACTTCCAGGGACCGCGTATTGAAAGAAACAGGGCATCGCACGTCTGGGCTCCCAGTCCCCAAGCGTCAGCATCCCGAGCTCTTTCCAGCCACCCGCCTCACGAAGCGGGGCGACACGCTGTCGACTCGCAGGGCATAGCATTTTCGCCGGGGCCGCCGCCGCGACACGTTCAGCAATAGTTATTGACCAGGTCCCGCCCCTACCCGCTCTCCCCACACTAGAACGGCTCCAGTTCACGAACATGTTCTGGATGATGTTTCTTTCCTCGCTGGTCCGTCTGATCCAAATAGCTCCATGTTTACGTGTTTGGCAGTCGCGTTATATGTTTGTGCACGGGAAGCCTCTACGCTGCCCTATCGTAGAAGACGAATCCGTGTATAGTTTGGGGAAGATGTGCCGATCGAGTTGAAAACATCAGCAGCAGCTTCACCATCCCTCCAAGGCAACCAGCGTGGCCCCACCCATTTACTTCGCTCCTCCTCATCCTCCTCGATCCTCCATGCTCTCAGGCAGTGCCAGGCTAGCGTCTCTCATCCAGCGAGGATGGGTTTCCGCCGAAGCGGTGGCGAAGGCTACCTTTCCGACGATCCCTCAGTACGAGCACCCTTCCATTACGTCCTCGACTCCTGTCGTGGCTCGATCGTTCGAGGCCTCCTCCTATTCGTCGCCCTCCTCGTCGCACCTCTTCTTCGAAGGGTAGACGTCGATCCAGTGGCAAGTAATGTTGTTCCCCCAGGGCTCGCATACCTTTGGGCTGACCCCTCTTGGGGCTGCGCGCCCTCCTTGAGCGCCAGCGGGGCCAGTGCCCCGCTGGGGCGGGGGCATTACCCTCCAGGTGCCGACGCGTCGGAGGCGCAGTCTCGTTGCAATGGCAGTCAGGCAGCTCCCGTCGGATCGGACCCCCCGAGTCTCAGATCTTATCTTATGTTACCACCGTCATCCTCATCATCACCGTCAACGGCATCATCACCACCATCATTAGAATCTAAACTATTGGACACCCATCCCCCCTACTCCCCCCCCCCACCACCACACTTTTTCTACTCATCACCCTCATCCTCTTCTTCCTCCTCCTCCGTAGCCGCTTTGGCTCAAGATGATTTCGCCCCGTGGCAGAGCACGGAGACCTCTAGTCCAGGGACAGCATCGGACGTTTGTTCACGCCCCCGTTGCGCCCGCGAGGTTGAGCTTCAGACCCATTGCTTCCGCATTCACATACGGTTGGCCTACATATCATTCGCCGTGGGAACGTCAGGTGACGCAGAAGCATCAGACCAGCCAGCAACCGAGCCTGTCCACGCACGTGGAGACAAACGCCAAGATCACTGGGCTACCAGTGCAGCCAAGCTACATGTTCAAGAACTCCCGCACACGTTCGCAAGCATCTCGAAGAAGCCCTGGACAAGCATGTCAAAGAGGTGGCAGCCAAATTTGAAGCCACAACCAAGGCCGTCACAGCTGCAGCAAGCAAGGAGTTCCTCGGGTCGTTCCCTGCCGTCACCACCGAGCTCAGCAAGCGCCACAAAGACACGGAGCGCCCACTCACTGCTGTCACCCTTCGCACGTCAGCGTTGGAGGCCTCGAAAAAATAGAGTTCAAAGCGTCCGTCGCCAAGCTGGAGAACCTCGTCTCGCAGGCTGAAGCTCGAGCGCCTGCTCTCAATCTCGACAGCTTTGACACGCGGGACAGAGACCCCAACCCGACGCGGGACCGTGTTCTGGCGCAGCAGCCCGCAGGAGTTCAACCAGCCCGAGCTGGAGAGGGCCCTTGCACCCTGGTTCGACGCTGCCAAGATAGAACAGGCCCACGTCATCTTCAACACCGCTGGCCCCGCCAAGCGCCACTCCTTCCAGCTCAGTGGGGGCACAGTTGTGACGGAACCTCGCGCACAGCGTCTTCACTTCGCGCTACGCGTTGGAAAGTATTGGAGGTCCTTCTCTATCGCTACTGGTGTTGGTGGAGCTGTTCCTTTCTACGTGCCGGCAGACAAAAGTCCGAAACCGGTACGCCAAGAAGTGCAAGCAAAGCGCCTCGCCAAGATTATGCAGAACAAAAGCCACTCCCCGATCTACGTGTTCATCGGTCCTCGGCTGCGTCTCCAACCGCGGGGAAGTTCTGGTACGTCTTCATATGGGTTAATGCTGACGCTCCCACTCGCCTGCTGCGGTCCAATGCCGGCGCCGACCGCGGTTTCGACGAGGCCACCCAGCGTGACATCGGCACCGAATTCGCCAGCAAATTCGCGGACGCTATCACAGCGCGTGGCTTTAGCCACCGCTGGAGCCCGCGGCTCCGGTCGCCGTCGCAAGAAGGGTTGGATATAGCATTCTGGATCACGCAGGCTCTCCCCGGACGCTTTGACCAAAGACGTGATGACAAAAGACGGCTTTCACTGCCAACCCTTCGCCAACGCGGTCTCCTTGCTGTACAAAATGCTCATGGGACCTTCGACGACCTGGAGCCCCTCGCCAATTCGACGCAGCACGCTTACAAGCCGTACCACTCGCCTCCCATCGTGGACAACGCTCCCGTCGCGAACGCGGGCGGCGCCGGGTTCCTCGTGCCATGCGACAAACGCGAGCTTCAGCTTCCAACCGAGCAACGGCCTCGCCACAGGTTCGAGGTCGTCATCCCTGGCCGCGCCGCTTGGCTGCACGTCGCGGATGCCAGCCTCCAGTTCGATTTAACAGTGCTCAACATCCACAACCGCGGGCTGTCGCGCGCCGACCGCCAGCGCCTGCAAGCAGAATGGCGAGCGCTACGAGAGCATGCGGATGAACCACCGAAGCAGCGGCAGCTCACGATCGCGGTCGACTTCAACTCGCCAGTCGACTCGGACATGACAGCGGCGCAGCGGTACCAGCACCAACCAATCTTCTGGCGCAACTGTTCCACGACGCCATCGAAATTGCCGCCACCTCGACCGGGCACAGATCCGAGGCCAACATGAGCGAGTCCACAATCGACCGGTGCTTCATAAACTGACCTAGCCACCTGATGCCGGTGCTTGACATCGCCGACGACTCCCTGCTCGAGGACAAGTCAGGAGGGCCCACCGGCGATCGCAAGATCATGCACCTGCGCGTCCGCTTCTAAGGAAGCCGAGGCCTTAGCGCGACCGAGGCGCACCTGCGTTCTTGTTCGATTCCGCTCATTAACAGCACCACATCAAGAGCGCCCTCGACTCCCCGGCTCCGCCCCTGCTGAACATCCGCCCGACGGTGCCCAAAATGCTCCGGGAGGCGCCCGCCGAAACGCACTGCGAAACCCGTCGCAGATGAACCCCAGCAAAGTGGGGGGCGCCGCGAGCTGCCACGCACACGGCCGCGGCAAGGAACCCCGACACGCCGGCCAAGATCCCTGGCGTCGAGCTGACTTCGCCGCCCCGCGTCGTCGCGCAGGAAACGGGAGCCACGACACTACACATCATCGCCCGAGCAGCATGGCACCAGAGCTCCCTCCTGGCCATGCTGCTGACTGAAAGCACTGGCGCGGGGAAGCACCACCTCAGCACCGCAAACGGCGCGGCCACCATCGACCACATGGCCGACTTCGCCGCTGCCGCGGACACCGCACACGCCAACCTCAGCAACGAGAGGAAGGCGAGAGCATCGGCGCGGTCGCGCGCCGCCTACGCCGCCATCAACGCCCCCCTCGGCCAGCAATAGCGCCAACGCGCCAGACACGAATGAAAGCGCGGCGAACCATGGAAGCCTTCTCAGAACGCAGGGCGCTGACGGGAATCAAAATCGTCGCCAGCCCCCAGCGCAACGTCGTCACCGACCCCGCCGCGATGCACCAGGCCATCGCGCAGCACTGGGCCCCTGCGTTTGGCGGGAAGGGCGTCGACGCCACCTGCCTGACGAATGAATGTCTGGACTCCGTCTACCCACCGTCACCCGCTGGTGGGCCTCGATCTCCCCGTCGCCGAGGCGCTCGAGAAGGCGGCGCGCGTTGCCGGCGACTCTGCCCCTGGCCCCAACGGTTTTCCGCACCGCGCACGGTTGCGCGCGCCACGCAGCTTCGACGTCCTCGCCGACGCTTGCACCGACATCGCTGCCAACGGCAGCACCCCGCACGACCTCAACTCCCCCCGCATGGCCATGCCCCCCATGGGCCACGAGTCTTGTGGCAACGCCGAGTGCACACGACCTCCAGATTGCATTCGCCCGCTTTCAATGAAGAGTGCTGACGAGAAGCCGCTGGCGCCAGCGCCCAACCGTCAACTCCGCCAGCTCGCCGCTAGGACGCCCTCCGTGCGGCAGGGCTCAGTCAACGGCCGCCAGTTCCTGAACAACGCAGTCATCGTCGACGCTGCACGCCGACGACAAGCCAGCATTTGTCAGCATGGACATCGCAGCGGCCTTTCCCAGGCCGGGCCACCAGTGCAAGTGGGAGGCCCTCAAGCGCTGGGGCATCCACGGTCGCGTGAAGAAGCTGGCGCGCGCGTTCTACATCTGGCCTGTCTCCTTCCTCGAGCTGGGGGGCGAACGTCGCCCGCCGCTGGTCGCAGCGTCTGGCGCGGCGCAAGGCTGCCCGCTCAGCGGCGCCATCTGGGCGCTCGTTTTCGACCCGATCATACTTGCCATCGGCCGCGAGCTACGCCCACTTGCACGAGGGCCCCTCAGCGCATGCGCTGACGACCCAAGAATCACCCTCGCCAGACTCCGAGACATCGAGAAGCTCGCCCCGCACACGTTGGCAGTCGAGACGCCGGCAGGCCTTCGCCTGCAAGCCAAGAAGCGCATCGCCATCCCGACCTGGAGCCTGCCGACGCAGAACATAACCGACGACGTGCGCCAGATCCTGTCATGTGTCCACCAGCCGCGGAAGGACTTCAAGATCGCCGACAAGGCCCGCCACCTCGGCTTCTTCATCGGCGAGGACCAGTGGCGCGGCCCATCCGCGAAATGGCGGGATCGCGTCGAGAAGCACGCCCCGATGCGATCAAGCTCCACGGCGGCGCCGCCGCCACCTGCCTTGGCCACGTGGGCCAGCTCTTCGAGCCGCGGGCCATCCACAAGCTGCTGCGCATTGCACTGTCCAGTTTCGCGAAGTCGGACATCGTCGCGTTGGCCCTGTGGGCCAAGATCGAGGTCCCGAGCGGCGCCGAGACGCACTGGTAACTCTGCGACACCGCCTGCGAGCAGCTGCCCATCCTGACGGCGATGGAAGGCGCCTGGTGCAACGACTGCCCGGCGATCAAGACCGCTATCGCGCAACGCTTTGAGGGCGTCGCCAACTCCACCTTCTTCGCCATGGGCAAGGGCTCGCATTTCCTGAGGCTGACGAGGACGACGGGCCCTCGCCCGCGTGTTCGCGCAGCCATAATCGCCAGCCGCAAGCACGCCGCACGGGCTGGGCTTCGAGCAACTCTGCACGCAGGGCCTGGCCGCGCGCCGCGCGC